TTGGGGGCGATATGCTGACTCTGTCAACCGCTTAGAGAGGGCTGAAAGCCCTATGAAGCGGTATATAAGTCTAACTGCTATTGCTATTGCTATCTTGAACCAGTTTCTTACCATTTGTATTTATTTGTCTACGGGACCTCTAGTAAGCTTGTTCTGTTGCATGGACCCTTCTGCCCTATCAGTATTCCAAGGGAGCAGGTTACCCAGTGATGGGATTCAGCCGGTTCGCACCTATTCGGGAGAACCGGTTGGTAACTTTCTAAGTAGTTCAGAGAACCGATTGTTGGAAGAAAATCTTTTGTTTTTTCCCACTTTACAGGGCTAATCCTATAAAGGAAGGCAGGAAGGAAACATTCTGGTGTTGTTTCTAGCCTCATCTTTGTTGCCTTGCTTACAGAAATTGTCTCTCCGGTTAACCCTTATTAATTGCAACAGCTAAGGCGAAGCGCCCATCGACCTGAGTGACCTTGAGTTGGCCACGCCCACCCAGTCACGTGACCACCGAGCCCCGCCTACCCAGCTTGTCATTAGGGCAGGGAACCGGTGGTTACATTATTTGAATCCGGCCACTGAGGTTGCCTCACCCCCAAACCATCTGGGGGAAGGGAATTCTGGTAGGGGGGGGATCTTTCAAATCAGATTAATGAGGACTGCGCAAATTCAATGGATGCTAAATTGGAATGGAGGATGCAGGAAAAACAATCCGAAACAGCTGGCTGGAACGCTGAATAGCATGCTGTTCCTTCTCATTGCAGTTCCTTTACTTGCCCTCTGTCTTTGGAAGCCATTTCATTAAAGGGATTTAAGCTCCTCACAATCTAATTCATCATGGCATAATTTAAAAGCCTTCCAATAGCAATCGCCCTACAGCAAGTCTTTAAAGCAGGGATCTCTGCCGGCTCTTCTGCTCTGTGGGCTGAGCTCAGGCAGGGAATGGTGGCTCCCTGGGTGGTAGAGAGCAAAGTGGGTCAGAGCTGGGTTAATATCTGGTCCCTCCCTGATTAGATGCTTGGGAGGAAGAGATTAAGAGAGGGATAAGGCACGCTCTCGCCTCCCCTCGTTCTCCAGCTCTTCCCATGGCAAATTTTGCTCTAAAAATATCTGTGATCACACAGTGATTTCTCAGCTGATCCATGATGACAGTAAACCAAATGCCTCCTGCCCCCCCCCACCTCCCACCCCATCCTAAGCAAAGGCTAAGATGATCCCTTCATCCGCCGGTTTCCTTCCTAGAGTGCCCCCTGCTGGCCCAAGGGAACCCAACCGCATTTACATCCCCACCTCTGCGCACTATTGCTCTGGAAGACTGAAATAGCCCTGTGACTCACATGGGTGCAGGCATTGCTCATTATCGAGAGGTTGCCTTGCTCGAAAAAGAAGATGCGCTGGCATCAATTAAAGAAAGGGCCACATATGAGAAAAGATGCGCTTTGTAGAGAGGTGAAATCTTTTGATGCCACATTGGAGTCCTAAATAGCAATAGCAATAGCAGTTAGACTTATATACCGCTTCATAGGGCTTTCAGCCCTCTCTAAGCGGTTTACAGAGTCAGCATATTGCCCNCCAGACTGTGGGGGCGATATGCTGACTCTGTCAACCGCTTAGAGAGGGTTGAAAGCCCTATGAAGCGGTATATAAGTCTAACTGCTATTGCTATTGCTATTCCTAGTTTCAAACATCTTTTTGCCCATAATGACAGGAGTGCCAATTTTCTTTTCCCTTTCATTCAATTCTGTTGTAAGAAACAGCAAGTGTTTTAGACCACACGCAATGAAATCTAAAGTAAAAAAAAACAGACCTTAGAAAAATCAGGAACAGTCAGGGCACTTGAGATGGAAAATTCAGATGCTTCTCCTAATTAACTGAGAGCACACTCCATAGGGAATCTGCCTGTTTTATTGCAATGTCGGTAGCTGTGATAGAACACAATAAGAACTGGAATGTGTGCAGGAACATTGGTTGGTGCCCAGAAAAGATACGGTATCTTCTCTATATCTCCCTGTGCTTTTGAAACCTAGTAAAACAGGGTTTAGGCCTCGTTAGTATTCAAATTAGAGATTTCAAGGAATGCCCAGGGCGGCAGGCTAGAGTGGAAAATAAAACACTCTATAAGCGGCACCAATTCACTTCTGTATTGCTGCCTCCAGAATGTGTCCATGAAGTCACAATGAGCCAAACTGATTTGGAAAAGAACTTATCTCTTTATGTTATCCTATTGAATGGTATCATCACAAGTTATGATATCAAGAGATCGGTGAAAACTAACACTGAGCCAATAGGAATTACATTTGCAGTGCAGCAGTGGATCTACTCAAAAGTAAGTCCAGCTGAAATTCTGAAGAATTACAGCCCTCACCTGAAACATTAAGACAGCCCAGTTACTTTTATAAAATACAGGTCAGTGTTTCTCAACCTTGGCAACTTGAAGATGTCTGGACTTCAAGTCCCAGAATTCCCCAGCCAGCATTCGCTGGGTGGGGAATTCTGGGAGTTGAAGTCCAGACATCTTCAAGTTGCCAAGGTTGAGAAACACTGATACAGGTTAACCAATAGCAGTTAGACTTATATACCGCTTCATAGGGCTTTCAGCCCTCTCTAAGCGGTTTACAGAGTCAGCATATTGCCCCCAACAACAATCCG